GAAACTCACCACTTTGAATTGGTTTTCCATTTGTTGCTGGTGTGGGGTCAGATATCCCGGTTATTTGATCAGCATACTTTAGATCTTGCCTTTTTGACGCAGCTATTTGTTGCCGTTGTGTATTTAGAATGTCTTCAATGCTTTTAGTCAATGGAATAGATTGGGCGGTTGTGTTATTTGTAACGTTAGCTTCTGATTCGGATTGCTGCTGTGAGTATTGCTCGGTATTATCTAGATTCATGATATCATTACTTTCTATTCGATATACATTCTCAATGTCTATGCAATTATTGGGAAAAATAACTCACCCCTTGGTAAACTATGATTGAAGTCCTTCATTTCTGCTGCAATTCTCTGCCGTTGTTCATTGAGAATATCTATCATTTTTGAAATTGCACTAATTGAATTTTATTCTTGAGATTTAAGCCTTAGAAATTATTGTTTGTTCAAGTACCTGGTATTGAATAGAAAAACCTCGATTTTCGTATAAAGGCATAGAGAAACAGAATACATAAAAAAATGGTAACACTTTGTGATCGCTTCTTTGACTCCAATCGCCGTTTCAATCGGTTTGATAGGAACATTTTATATTGAAATTTGAAAAGTTTTGGAATTTATCCACTTTGCACAAATGTCATACACAAGCAATTATCTCACTCAAGATTTATCGATTAAAACAAGTTTATTTTATTTAAAATGCAGAGATTTGTATGTAATAGATCATTTATGCGACTAATATTTCAAGTAAAGAGAACTACTCTCGATCATCATTTTATTGATAGTGTCCATTAATTTCATCTCAATATTGTTTTCAACTATGTATTTTTTTACTTTATTCGTACCCGATTTTTTGGCACCCTTTTTAAATAATACGCAAAAAGTATTATATTAAATTTATAATTTATTAAGGCTTGAAATCGTCCACGATTACGATCGTGTGCTTAGCAAATAAGGCCTTTAAGTAGATTTGGTATATTCTAAATAAAATTGACACAAATGAAATTACAAATTAGTCAAATCAAGTCCAAATACCAAGTCGCGTATAATAAGTCAGAAAAAAATCAAGTCAAATGAACTTGTTAGATAATAACATTATTAATATTATTTAACAAAGA